TCATATTTTTTAGATAATCTTAATTTCCATTCTCTATTAGAATTAATAAAATTTCGGGAAATTTTCCATTTAAAGTATTGAATTCTAAAAAAAATTAAACGGGGTGGGGTGGGTCCCGCCCCATCCCCGACCCAAATACTTGATTAAGCGGGTAACCCCGCCCCGCCCCGCCCCCGACCGAAATACCTGATTAAGCGGGTAATCTCGCCACGTTCAAGCTGAGGCCCCGTGGGTATTGAGTTTGTCAGATTTTTTTTACCTTCTCTCGTGACGAGCCAAGTCAAGCCAAAAAAAAATTTTAAAAGAAAGGTTAAAAAATAAAAAAAAACAATTATAGTTGCCTGCGTTTGCAAGCAAAAAAAATTAATATTTTTAGAAAAAATTGGGTCGAGCCTAATTTTTTTAGCTGAGCAAAAGCTCGGCTCGACTCAGGCAAAAAAAAAGAAAAAAATAGAACTATTTTTACTGGAGTCAAGCCCGAGCTTCGAATTTCGACTCGTGGCTCGGTTTGGCTTGTTGATACTCCTAAATGGAAGTGGGCATCTGGTGAAATAGGTTGTCACCGGGGATGGAGCTTGAAAGGTTGCAACCAATTCCATAAATTTGTAGATATGATTGACAAAGATCTCGTGAAAAAAGTACAAAAGTTTGGAAATTTATCGTGCTATTTAATCTTTATTTCATTTTTCGAACAACTCTACGAAGAGTAGTTAGAAACTTGACACAATATGTTGACATACTCTCAACAACAAGAAGTACAATTAATTTTTGCATTACTTTTTTATGCATACTCTCAAGTCTCAACCCTTTTGGATTACTAGGTTCAAATATGCACAAGATCCTTTCCAAGATGAAAATTTCACCCTTTGTCATGCTATTTTCCATATGTTAAGATTAGATGTAGGAATAGATAAAAGATGGATATTGGAATTTTTCTCCAATATAATCATTATATTAGTCGTATTAATTGAGTTTCGCCAGGTGGAAACACTGTTTAATCCACTGTGACAATTAACAACAATACTACGTCAATTTTTTTGATCGACTGATCATTTGAGCAAAAACAAATAATTTTATTCTCTCTCTGAACTTGAAGGTATGGCATTTTGAATCTTCTCGACGAAATGCAGGAGCTGGCTCCCTCGACATACCCTCTACTACCCTGTATACAGCCATACAATTTTTCATACATTACACGAATCAAAAAGTGCACACCATCCATTTGCAAGAGCAAGATATATACACTCAGCAGCTTAGTGTTTTGCTCAATGGATCATAATCATAAGCATCCCCTGCCTTCACAAACCGTCCCTTTACACGCCTTCTTACATCTGCTCTTGACTTGCGAGATTCGTATCTCACTCTCTTCTCGAATCTGTTAAAGCATTATGTTTAGAAGACTATATATTAGGAAATTGAAAAGTGATAAGACTCAACAAATGTTCCTACAGACTAATCCCTAATCCCTATGCACAGTAAAACAAAACATCATTATCTACCTGAAATTTTGAGTTAAAATGAATAAAGAAAGAAAGAAAAAGAAAAAAAAACAGCTGCTTGCCAACCCCCACCCACTCGTGCTATTTACCTGCCACAGCCACCATCCCCACCGCCTACACTACACAACTTGACAAAAGGAGTCACACTTCTTGGGGCCTGGCTCCAACATCTGCCTAACAAGGCTTTTCAGCAATTTCATTTATTAGAGGCTATGGTTCCCTCTTACAATCCATGGCTCCTGTTAAAGTTGCTAGAACACTCAGTTCAGTTTTTACAAAAAGCTATCAAATGAAAAGACTTATAGTAATTGTTCTAGAAATGGCTTTATAGTGGAAAACTAAGATGCACCTGTTCCGAATGGAAAACCTCCACATATTGAGAGAATTCAAATTACTGCACGCGGATCAAATTAGATTGGATCTTCTAAATTTAGCACTCTAATTCATGATTGTGGGCAGGTGGGAAAACTGAGGGTGGGGGTGGGTGGGTTTGCAGGACTGGAAGGCTGATGGTGAAGGTGGGTGGTGATATCGGCAGGATGCAGAGATCGCAGGAAACGGTGCAGGAATAACAGAGAAGGTGTCGAAGTTGTGGTGGCGAGACAGGGAAACAGTCACAACAGTGATATTTGAATTTGTTTCTTTTTTTATATATACAATTGCTCTCTTTTAAATTAGAATCAGTGTTTCCATAATTTACTCTTTAAAAAGTGAGTCATGCAAGTCACGGGAAATTTTAACTGTCAAACATACAGAATCAATCCACTGGGGATTATCCAAGTGGCAAGTGCTACAAAATTGAATTGTTGGGAACCCAAATACAACACATAGAAGGTCAAGGATCTACTTCCTCTATTTTGCATAGGTTGGGTAACCCAGCTGTAATTTTCCCTTTATTTATTAATATCAAAAGAGTATGTTTAACAGACTCCCTTCTCCTTTCCTGGTTTACTCCTCCTCCCCGCTTCTTTTCTCTCTTCTTCATATCACCTTGGATTTTTCCTCATTTCCGTTTTTCCTCTGTCTTATAAACCTGACATCCCTCTCCCTATTCATTTCCTTTTCTAGCACTCCACAAGATTCCTACATCATTTTCCCTTTTCCACTTCGTCCAACTAGTTTATAAGAGCACTTAATTAGATCCTTCACTTTCTAATGAAGTGACTAGTGATCAATAGATAAAAGTTTAAGGTTTCATCAATAAAAAATGTTGTTCTGCATTAACTCAATTAGTTTCCCGTGTCCTTACCTCGTTCAATAATGTTTGGTGCATTTTTTATTTTTTTTCTCGTTACTCTGATTTTTGTTATTGTTTCATATTTAACGAGAACGGTTTATTCTTTTTACCTTTCTCCAATGTTGTTTTGTTTCTTACAATATCATTCAACATTTGACCTTCGTAAACAGTAACCAAGAGGGCCATGGATATCTTACTTGCGCATCTTCTTCTTCTCTTTGTAACGCATTACAGCATCACTTCGGCTAGAAGAATATGTAGAACTTTCAGGACCCAGAGGACACCGTGATGGTTCTACGCAATCCTGATAGTCTCCAGTTACGCCCTCCCCGGTGAGGCCAGAGTGTGCTTGCCTCGAAAAACATAAGTTTGGTTCAGTCCAGCAGCTTATTATAGAATCAGCAGATGCTGCATTGCTGCATGCTGTTTGTGCCGCATTCAACCTTCCAACTGATGATCCCTAGTAAGAGATGAATAAAACTAGGTGAATTAGACATTTCGACATGATCCTACTGAGTTGATAAATTATAACAAAGAATCTCAATTTCAGCAAGTTTTTGATCATGGAGAGCAAGAATGCGACAAAGTCCTGCACCAAAAGTGCTGCCTTAGCTTACCCTCATTTCCAGCAATTGTTTCCTCAAAGCCCAGGGGTTTCAAAACTTTGGTCTAAATCCAACCTAAAGAAGTAGAGGATCTGATGACAATTGATTGGGCAGACTTCTTATATTTGGTTAGAAATGGTGCAGAGCTTACAATGGCTTCGCCTACTATGCAGCACATTTTTGCTGACATTAGGGATACGGAAGAAAAATCTTTCGATTGTCGATTTCTAAGGACAAAGCTAGGCTATACATGGAAACCGCATGATATCAGTATTTGAACTATGATACTTCATTTCTATGGTATAATGATTCATAAAATAACCCAACTATTCAAATGGCAGAATTCCAATGTATCTGAAATGGTTAAAGAACAAATGAAAAGATTTTATATAGTTCATACATCAGATATCACTGCAAAATACTGGGCAGGTGCCCTGTAACCTAGTCCAAGTTTTGGGTATTCAAGGGTACTTTACACGTTTAGAAGAGTTAAAGTAATGTAGCCACTGATAATTGCTGGAGTTTTCTATGCTTCTGAAATACTCTTTCACCCCTCTTCCCGTACTTTCTTTCCTTTCCTTTTCTATTTCCTTTTTATTCTCTTTTCTTTGAGAAAAGTAAATTTCCATATATCAAACAACATGTTACTCCATGTACAAATATTGATCGTGTGGCTCAGTGAAAGAAGGTGAACAGCACAACATATAATCGTGAATAACTTCATTCCTTCAGGCAAAAAAAAAAAGCACTTGTATTTCTCAGCACTTCATTCCTTCAGGCAAAAAAAAAAAAAGCATAGGATAGTTAATACTTTGCCAACTATTCTCTATTTTCCAATCGCTATTGATCCAAGGCTCGGACAATGACAAATTTACCACTAGTCTTTATTCAAACGAGAGAAAACATCACGCAGGCACAAGTTATTCCCATTCGTCACTCTTAACATTTAAAAAAAAGACAGACAACAATGACTAAACTTGAGTTGTGATCCTTGTCCCAAAACCCACCCATATCCACCAAATAAAGACCCCTCTGAATCCCACTCTTATGCGTAATGTGTTTTCTCATTTGAATTTCCTAGCCAATCTGAAGATATAAATCTTTAAGCAGGTATTCTTTAATACAGTTATTAAAAAATGTTGCGATGGAGCTTGCTGACTTCAGCACAGCTTGATGTCAGATTCACGGTTTTAATATCTTCACATGGATAATAGTTATTGAGCAGATAAATAGAGAATCATGGTAGCAGATTGAATAAGCA